TGCTGCTGTGCGTACGCTCCGTCTCAATTCACAAAGCGGTTGTCCGCCAAACTACCTACCTACCTTGCACCATCCTCACCTTGGCTACCGTCGTTGACTAACACATGAGCAAGCGGTCCTGCTGTGCGTGCACTCCGTCTCAATTCGCAAAGCAGTTCTCCGCAAAACTACCCACCTACCTTGCACCTCCGTCAACCTCGCCTACCGTCGTCAACTAGCCCACGAGCAAGCGCTCCTACTGTGTGTACGCTCCTCAATTCAAAGCCGTTCTCTGCGCAACTACCTAGCACCTACCTCGCGCCATCTTGACCTTACCTACCGTCATCTACAAACCCACGCGCACGCAGTCCTCCTGTGTGTACGTACACTCCGTCACAATCAACAAGCACTGTTTCAAGCAAAGCGGTTCTCTGCCCAACTACCTACCTACCTACCTTCCACCAAGTTCACAGTACCTATCGGAGACTGGATCATCACCATGGTAGCAAGTATATCCCCGAGGGCGGCGAGAGGTACCCTGAGCATTTGGCCGCAACCGGCCGACCAGTGGAGCGATTGTCAGGACTCGGTGATGCCGAATGTCGTCCGTCGACGCTCGTTGTCAGTCTGCCGTCGGGCGACCAATTCCATGTGCGGCGCAAGCAAACCACCAGTATAGGCCTATACTAAGCTTGAACTGCCACAAATAGATGGAGCCTGCGTTTAATAATTATTAAAAAAAAAAAAAAAAAAAAAAAAAAGATCGACCTGCCAAGTCTACCATTGTTTTTCACTAAGGCATCTATTTATATATCCTCTCCCCAAGGGCCCCAACTATAGTCGATCAGACCTTCACAGCATCGGAACGAAATGGCAGAGCGTCTATGCTGTTGTGCCTGCCTATATGGCACCGCGATCCTAAACGACGAACAGACCACGGACTCGGCCAGTTTTACACGCTTCGAATTGTTCGCAGATAATTATGAAAACGATCGCATGCAGAAATTCTGTACGTAGACTGTTCGCTGGAAGCTGGAACGCTCAACAACCAACCAACCGTCTATAGACACATACGATCCTCTTCAACTAAACTATATTCCACTTAAGACTATGTATAGTCAAACAGAGCTGCAGGGTAAACCGTAGGGGCAGAGAGGGACAAGAGGGAGAAGAGGACAACAAACGAGGGGCTGTGACAAACAGTTTCGTCCGAGTTTCACCGACTCATATAGTAAATAGTAAATACCATCTTCAACTTAAGACTACCCCTTCAACGTCAAGACTCTGACTACATAGTACATACTCTCTTCAACTTAAAGCACTGGTGCACGGCTCCAGGCTTGCAGTCCAAAACTTGTCGCCACAAGAAAACGAGGCCGAAACATGTCGATTGTCGACATCAAGCGCGGGGCCTGCCGTCGATAAATTGCATCGACGGTCATGTTTTCGTTACGACTATATAGTACTGTCTTCAACTTACGACTATACAGTAGTATTTTCGACTTACGACTATATATCGTACTATCTTCGACTTGCGACTACATACTAGTACTATCTTCAACTTACGACTATATAGTACTATCTTCGACTTACGACTACATAGTACTATCTTCAACTTACGACTATATAGTACTATCTTCGACTAACGACTATACTATCTTCTAGCAGAATGTTGACACTGCTGAGTGCCCATGCTGTGAGTTCCTGCCACAATTCAACCAACAACAGTGCATGCAAACAAAATGCCACAATTCAACCAACAACAGTGCATGCAAACAAAAACTATCTTCCACTACTTCCACTGGAACTACCGATCTTCCAGCACAGGTTTCAAAAAAAAAAAAAAGAAGAAAAAAAAAAGACTATCGGTCTTTGACCACAGTGACCAGACTTGGTGACATTGCTGAGGGTGCATGCGGTATTGTGCTTATCTGACGGCAATTGGACAGTTGGTTGAATTGTGGCTGTAGGGGTTGAAGATGGACTAATGGATAGGCATCTACCCCTATACAATAGATATTTCACTCAAGACGACTATCCATCTTCCACTGAAGATGACTATTGTCGTCCAACCTGACTTCCATCTTCCGCTTAAACCACCAGTACACGGCCCCAGCTTCGACGAAAACTAACTCTTCCCGACCAGCAAAAAATTTCAGGGCTTTTCGGGGATTTGGGGCGTGCCAACTGGATCGAGATTCGAGATGGCTGCCGCCTCCAGCGATATCAAAAAGAAAAACGCTGCACCGGCGCTTTGGCAAACTTCAGCGCTCAGGGGGCGCGTCGGTTCGGCGAAATAGCCCCCCGTGTGTGCTGGTGGCTTAAGACTATCTATCTTCCACTTAAAGACTATTCTAGTCCGAATAAAGATTTCCACCATCTTCTCCTTTCCACTAAACTATCTCCCAGAAGAGCATCTTCCATCTTGTTCATCTTAAAAAAAAAAAAAAAAAAAAAAAAAAAAAATAAGGGAAAAAAAAAAAAAAAAAAAAAAAAAAAAAAAAAAAAAAAGTCATGAAAAACGACCCTGTTCGATGATCTTGTCTATCACACTCTATCCTCCTACTAGCTGCTTTCTGCCATCTCTACCTACTCTTGCTGCATGCAGACAATGGTGTGCTTCTCTCTCTCTCTCTCTCTCTCTCTCTCTCTCTGAGACTCTCTCTCTCACCCTACCTACCCTATGAAGCTGATTCGTCAAGTTCGTTATTAATGGTAGGCCAACGAAAGAAATGGCGGTCCCTCACAGGAGGCCTTCGAAAGAACGCAACGGCGTAGTGAACTAAACAGACGTCTAGAGGAATCCTCCGTGTGTGCCTCTCGTCTTCAAGGCAATTACGTATACTAATAGCAATTCGGTCGTACTAATAGCAATTCGGTCATCGCCGACTCGTCGGGATGCACTAGGAGAATGAAGTAGCACAAACAGCGTCCCCCAAAGCACATGCACTTCTTTTCTTGAAACGAAGCGCACGACGGCCACTCCGCGCTGCTTGCGAGTCTGGCTATCTGGTTCTATAATCCGGCGGCGGAAACGAGGAAAGGGGGAGCAGTGGGACCACTTCGCAAAGCACGCACACTTACTGTAAAACCAGCCAGGTTCACGTTGGCGTAGCACAAACACTTTTCCCCTTTGGGAATCTTTTTTCAGAATTGCGAAAACGGATTTGCAAAACTGCAAAATTGGCACATTACCCCTCCGGAGACGAAGCAGAGTCTATTTTTCGCAGGTTGACAAAATCCACCACGTCCACAGGAGTGCAGAAAAACTGAACCTATCCAGCTTTACAGCTAAGATTCGCTCCTCAGAATTGCAAGCACGGATTTGCAAAACTGCAATTATTGCCACATTACCCCTCTGGAGAAGGAGAAGAAGAAGAAGAAGAAGAAGAAGAAGAACGATCCCTTTTCCGCAGGTCGGCGAAATCCACCATGTCCGGACTCCGCAGGACAACAGCAAAGCACAACCTGTGCAGCTTTACAACGCGATTCACTCCAGATCATCAACCTCTCTTGAAGTTCTGAAAACCCTCCTCGTAGTCGCATCCAATGGGTGGGGTCGGGACTATTGTCTTTGCCCTGAACACATCCTCATTATGAATGTATACAACCTGTCTTTCCCATTCAATACACTCAGTCATAATAACGCCGATTATAACGGTGTGTTGTGTTCGCACTGTTCGGGGAAAACGGTAGTACTGTTGGATGAGTCAATCTTCTGGGTACCCCAAATGACTGTGTACCTATGTGGAAAGGGTGGGTACGCGGTAGGCTGCCTGCTGCCTGCTCATTGCTCAGTTCCTGATCTCCTCCCTCCTCCTCCTCCGCCACCGCCTCCTACTTTCCATCCGTTTCTCACCCTGTTTATAACGAAAGACATACTACCGTCATCACCCGAATAGAACACCCGGTCATTATCGCTGCATCTGGACCGAAAGTTGTGCCCAATACCGCTATAATGACGGGGCGTTCTATTCGGGTGAAGACGGTAGCGATATCCGATAGCGTTGTTCGCCGATAAAAACTTCACCAAACTTCATGCCGTCGTAACTATTTCTGCTTCCGCCGTCCCCTTTCTGTGTCCAGCGAAGTGAATATGAAGGAGAAAGGAAAATACTAGCATGGAAAAAAAGTCTGAAAACCGGCTTGGAAGGTGTACGTGCGCGAGACCTCGTTTGCCGAAAGCTCCTGTCACAGACTGCCCATTTTTCAGCAAAACTGGTCTCATCCCGGCTGTCATGCCTCGTCAGAAGAATCTTCACAGATAGATCATGGGAACGTTCTCATCGTTTCCTTTCTTGCCGGCCGGTATGCGTTATGAAGTTGAAATGCGCGCAAGCAAGCACTTTCACCGCAGAAAGGTTGTCATTTTCCAGTGAGTCGGCGGCGACAGGCGCAAACAAACCAGTTGCTTGATATCAGTGGCAATGACGTCACTCACCGTACAGCTCCACAATGGGCATTCACTGTCGTTACATCTTTCTCCTCCGTCCTCCTCGGGCGGCGGGCACTACTTGCTGCGAATTGCAACGCCTTTTGCAAGAACGAGATTCGCTCCCGCAATGTATGCCATCCAACGAGTGCTTTTTCGATAGCTATCGCAGGTGGAATGGTGTCAGTAGAGTTGGCCGTCTCTCCTTGTGTAGAATTGTTGCCTCCTCGGGCACGAGTTGCTGCAACTGCAATGCCTTTTGGAAAGCGGTGCGCCGCCACGGGTGTAGGGATGTATAAAACGTCATCGATCGTTTTTCGATAGCTGTCACATAGGTGGAATGGTGTCAGTGAAGTTGGCTGTCCCTCGTCATGTAGAATTGTCTCCTCTTCCGGAGACTAGTTGCTGCGACCGCAAAGTGTTTTGGAAAGCGGTGCGCCGACACGGGTGTAGTAGGGATGTATAAAACGTCATCGATCGTTTTTCGATAGCTGTCACAGGTGGAATGGTGTCCGTAAAGTTGGCCGTCGGCTCGTCGCTCCTCGTGTAGAATTGTCTCCTCCTCGGGCACTAGTTGCAGCGACCTCAAAGCATTTTGGAACGCGATTCGCCGACACGTTCACCAATTGTTTTTCAATAGCTGTCAGAGGTGGCAGCAACGTCAGTAAACTTGGCCGTCTCTTGTCGTAGAATCTTCCACTTGGGAACCTCTTGCCGCAATTGCGAAGAACTCGCAGATGATCTCCAAGGGCAAGCCTTTGGTCTCCGGCACCTTAGTGTAGATGAATACCCAACCCACAATTGTAATCACTGCGTACCCGGCAAACAGGGCAGGGAGGCCGACCATTATCCGAAGAGCGGGGAACGATTGGCACACGGAAGCGTTGACAAGCCATTGGACCAATGTGCAGAGCCCAATAGCGATTCCGCGAACGCGCGTGGGGAAGATCTCGCTGCACATAATAATCGCGATCGGCCCGATACCCATCATATACGCGCTCGTTTGGAGGATGCAGCAGGTGATTGTAATCAAGAACCTGGGTGGTCCCGGTTCCAGCAATGACGCAAACGACAGGCCGACGAGAGCTGAAATGACAACTGGCAAAGTGCCAAGAAGCAGTAGTCGCCGACCTGCTTTGTCCATTAACGCTGCGGCAGTGCCAACAGCCGGGAGGAGAAGCACGCAGCATAAGGCCGATGCGAGAATCGCCGCAGAGGCGCTCGATAACCCGGTCTTCTGAAGGAAATCTGCGCCGGAATCGGCGATGATAATGGGAGTGAAATAGAAAACTGCATTGATTCCTGTCGCCTGCAGAAATAGAACATTCATGTCCAGTCAAATCAGGTAGAAGGTTCTGGTAGGAGAGGAAAAAAAAAAAAAAAAAAAAAAAAAGGCTACCAAAAATAAAACACAACTGAGCAACCTTTGCCTCAGGATCACATTGAATTTCTTTACCCTTTTTTTTTTTTTTTTTTTTTTTTTGGCCTGGCTGGCCAAGTGGTCCCGGACCGCTCTGGTAGCCTTTTAAAAAACACAACAAACAAACAAACAAACAAACAAAACAAAAAGCCAAAAACGCATACTGGAACTGCTATTCCTCCCAAACGACCCACTCACGTCACCACCTGGCACCAGCATGACACCCGCGGCCTAGGCCGTGGGCAAATTGGCCGTCTCGGCTGAAAAAGTCGGCCACAGCTGTGGCCAACGAGGCCTACCTCGGGGCCCTTCTTTTTCAGTTTTTTTTTTGCCAAAAAATAAGTATAAAAAAAAAAAGGTGGGGTTGTAGGGTTTGCAAAAGCCTACAACCCCATAATTGTTTTTTTCGGATTTTGAATTGATATACAATTTTAAAAAATGAAAAACGAAACTCGGTTCAAAAGAAAAAAAAGAAAAATAAATAAAAGAAAAACACGTAAACCGTAATCCTCATTTTTTTCATTCTTCTTCGGTTCAAAAGAAAAAAAAGAAAAATAAATAAAAGAAAAACACGTAAACCGTAATCCTCATTTTTTTCATTCTTCTTCTTCTTTGATGTTGAATTGATATACAATTTTAAAAAATGAAAAACGAAACTCGGTTCAAAAGAAAAAAAAGAAAAATAAATAAAAGAAAAACACGTAAACCGTACTCCTCATTTTTTTCATTCTTCTTCTTCTTTGATGTTATTCCCCCCCC